TGTTTGGGCTAAGCCAAACTGTCGAGATACAAGGTTTGGCTGGTAGGCCATCAAAGCTGCTTGGCCACTCAGAAGGTTAAGTTTGTGGACTATAAGTCGAGGAATTAAAAATCCTTCCCAGACAAGCATCAACTCTGCTTCATATTTTTTGAACGCGTGAGGAAAAGCCCTAGTGAACCATTCAGGGCCATATTTCCTTTCTACAAACGGAGCCATCCGTGGTGTAAACTCGTGGCGCTTTGCGAACATCTTAATAAAGCTAGAGATATTTGCCCTGAGTGTTTGTCCCTCTTCACTAGGGGTTAACTTGACCAATTGAGTCCATTCGATTCGCCTCTCCTTTATCTCTGGGTCTTCTTCATCGACCACCCCTTTGTTAGGAAGGCTAGTTTCGAATGTGGTATTGAGCCAGAGCTGGAGTAACCAGAAAGGCCCCGACAGCAAGAGGTTCCCATTGCTTTCTTGGCTTTTTAATCGACCAGCACCTTCACTCAGAGACTCATACAAACTGACCAGAATCATTTCACTTAGGCAGATACCTCGATTCAGATGTAGTTGGTTGGCTAAAGTGAGTTACTTCATTGCTACCTGCAGAGATTTTATACAGAAAACGCAATGAGAAAGCCACATAGCTAGAAATTCTATGTGTTCTTGGTCTTCAACAGTTTCTGTTTACTTGTTGTGATAATGATTGATGAAGTGGGTGTATGTGTGCTTGATGGTCGAAAACCCTATAGTGTCTTGACAATCCACTTCAGGATCATAAGCCAATCCATGGGGTTTTAGCCTTGTGATAGCGGCTAGGTCAAAAAGAGTGGGTGTCATCATCCCACAAGGAAGGTGAAAAGTGTAATGGGTATTATCCCATAAGTACAAGGAAGAGGCCAACAGAATGGGGAAGTATGTGGGACCTGCTTTCGACATCATGATCAAGTCGTAAATCTCGGTTTTCTTCCAAGCGTCTGCCTTGACCTTCTCTACTTTGGTCAACCAGTTTAGATAAAGATCGGAGTCTTTGAAGTAAGGAGTCGCTCTAAACAGCCTGGATCCATCCTTTAGATGCTTAAGGTCTACATTGTGTAATGTCAGGCTGTCAGGACCTTCAGTGGGTACTTTGGTATGATCTTTCTGCCCTAAAGGTTTAGTTTTGCGATAGGAGGGAAAGAAGTCACTGAGGGTTGAATAGTTGGTTCCTAAAGGAGACAAAGGGCCAGCTAAAGCTATAGGTTTACTTGAAACAGTTATGGGGATCATTACCTGGGATTCATAAATGTGCCTCTTCTCTTCTATAAGGGGTTCAATAATAAATTGCTGGCATTATGATTTATTTTGTTTAAGTGTTTTTGAAAGCTCTTTACTTTGTTTCTTTCCATTTCATGTCCTTTCTTTTCTGTCGAACCTTACACTTACATTAACCTTTTCCTCATAAACACCATCGAAGTGTTTAGTTCCTTAGTATTTTCTTCAAAGTAAAATTTAGCGCATGTCCTAGGATCAATCTGATCGATCCTGTGAGTCATCAAAGTTAGATTTGGAAGATCAGCGGTTATTTTCCAATTTTCACGGGAAACAACTGGCAAATGGTTAATCGATTAACACTGGTCTAGAATGCCATTTTTGCTTATTTTCAAGCTTGTTTGATCTTCTTTCCTCATTTAACTTCCATGGCTTGATATGCTTGATATTTAAGGATGTTTTATGAGTTGTTTAACTTATGTTGGAAGCATGTATGCAAACTTTCAATGCATGATTTGTCGATTCTCGATTATTTTCATTTTGTGACACTTGTATGGTCATGATCATTCTTGCACCTTGGTCACATGATAACATGATTAGTATTGCATGAAAATTGATATTTGTTGCTACCATTTCAATTTATTCTTGATTGCATTAAGTTTGTTCTTCATTTGAATGAACTTAATTTTGTATAATCAATAATCTGCATGTTTGCTTTTACGATCTTTTGACTCGCTTGAAAAATTGTTGGCTTATTCGCTCCCTTTTGATTAACTGATCGAAACCTTATTTCAATTAGTTGATCTCTCTTATTTCTTCTCTTTTAGATCTTTTAGAGCCTTGTTCTTTCTTTCCCCTGTGAATTCAAAGATTTACAACATGTTGGAGCACTATACAAGTTTGTACCGTTACTTTGTCGGTTTCGTTTGTCGTACTACACTTTGGTGTTAGGGAAGGAATGAGAGTGGAGAATTCCTACACTCATTATGATTATTTTGGGTAGGGGACGAATGACCTTGTGCCTAGAATAGTCATCTCAATCTTCTCACCGTAGCGTCTTCTCCTTTCCAGTCGAGTCGATCCTTGATCACTTGTACCCTAATCCCCTGTCTTTTGGATTTAACTTCCTCCTTTCAATTCAACACTCCTTTCTCTTTTGGCCAATCATTATTCTTTGATTTCCAAGATGATTTATAATCACTCCTTTTTTTTGGCTAATCAACTGTTCTTTGGTTAAAGCCAAAATTTTCTTCTTCCCCAATAAAGTCAATCCCTTTTGCTTCGGTTAAACACAGTGTGGCTGTCAAATACCGCGTCCCTAGCGGAGTTCGCAACCTTCTCGTGGTTCTATGTCCCTTCTTATTTGGTTAATCACTACCTGTCAGTTAAAATGTCACGTTTTTTTTCTCAGTTAATCACAGTCTGTTTGTTCATGCTGAGTTTCCTTTGGGTTAATCACCTTCTCTTGATTAATCACTCATTCTTTGGTTGATCACAATCCGCCTATTAAAATTAACTTTCTTTGGGTTAATCATATTCTCTTAGTTAATTACCCTTTTCTCAGTTAACCACAGTCTGTCTATTAACATACTGAGATTCTTTTGAGTTAATCACCTTCCCTTGGTTAATCACCCGTTCCTCAGTTAATCACAGTCCGTTTGTTAACATACTAAGCTCCTCTTGAGTTAATCACCTTCTCTTGATTACTCACTCATTATTTTCAGTTAATCACATCCCGCCTGTTAAACACCGAATCCCCGACAATTAACAACCTTTCTTTGGTTCAAATACTTGCACCTTTGGGTTCGTAACCTTTGTTTGGTTCAAATACCCTTTCCTTCGGTCAAGTACTATTTGTTCAGTATGTACCGTCCTTCGATCACAACATTCGCTTGGTTCCACACCCGTCCTTTGGGTCACAACATTCGTTTGGTTCCACATTCGTCTTTTCGGTTAACCACTGCTTATCAGTTAACACACTAAGTTCGCCAAAGAGTCAAACACCTTCTCTTGGTTCAATACTCTATTTCTTCTGGTTTATCACTGTTTGTTTGTTGACACCAACCTTTTGCTTTCCCCATAGAGTCTTACTCTTATCTTTCTTCAGTTAATTACTTCTTTTCAGTTAATGCACCGAGTCCCTTGTGGATCTTACCTTTACCTCAATTCTTATCCTTTATTCCTTCATTCTTCTGGTTTCGACACCATTCTTTTGTTTTGTCCCCAGTGGAGTTATGACTTCTCTTTTGAGTTCCTTAGTAGAGTTTTCCTTTGTCTTTGTTTCTTGGTTTTGACATCATTTCTTTTTCATCCCCAATAGGGTCTTTCTTTTTTTCCTTTCACTCTTAGTTTTGATACCGTCTCTGTTTCCTTTTCTTTCTCCGTCCTAGTTCTCCGAACTACGTAGGCTCTGATTTCCTCATTGCACCATGAAGATACGTAGGCACGAGATTGAAAAATCTTGGTGAGCCATCTTCTTCCACCTTCTTTTATTCTTATTTCTCTCTGGTTCGCCCAAATCTTCTTTTCTTTTCCTGGTTCCATGAACTACGGAGCTCTAAATTCCTCATTGCACTATGAGGGTGCATAGGCACGAGGACCCCAATCCTCCGCGAGCACTTCCTTCTCCCTCCCTCCTTCTTTCTTTCTTTCTCTCTTCTTTCCCTTTTTTTAGCTAGAAGACTTTAGATAGATAACTCATCCAAGCCTAGAAGCAAGTGAAATGGTCCCTGCCGAGTACGACAGATACGTAAGGTGCTAGTACCTTCCTTTCGCATAACTGACCCCCTTACCTGTTTCTCTTCCCTTGAGTTTTATCGATATTTTCTCTGTCCTTTTGAGACTAAATAAAGTTCGGTGGCGACTCTGTTGTATCTTTGAGTGTGTGATTCACTCAGGTATAATCTCGCTAGCACCAGGTACTAGCTTATGGATGAAAGATCTTCTGCTTGAACGAGAGCATAGTGGATGGACTCACATTTGAGGGGGAGATTATTGGAAAAGTTTTGAGTTGTTGTGAGAATCAATTGTGAGTTCTAAGTCCCACATTGCTTAGAAAAGTGGAGGTTAAGCACTTTATAAGTAAGAGGAGACATACACCTATCACCTTAAGGTTTTAGGTGAATATGTGGTGTCTCTCTCACTTGTTTGGGTGAGTCTTTGATCTTTAGGTGAGTGTTTGACCCAATGTGTATGCTTTTCTCTCATGATGACCCATTAATTCTTCCTCAACCGGTACTTCTAAGGCCTTGAATACTCTTCAGATGGGGAGAAGAGATAAACTACTTGTGTACGATATATTGAGGACCATAACCTATATTAGGAGTAGACAACAGGCCGAGTTTGACAGTTTTAGACTCAAAAGCCTGCATATTTTTACAATTGGTTTTGACATGTTGGGTTAGAAGGGGTTGCGGGTGAATACAATCGGTTTATTAGGTTGATTTTGTTTTGAGCCAAATAAAACATTTTGAATTTTTTTTTTTAAATTAAACTTAATCCAACTGTCATAAGAATGCTGAATCCAAAATGAAATGCAGGAACATTATTTTCATCCATTACAAATCCAATATCACAATGCAACTTATACATTGATTTAAAGTAATTTATTTTGTATAAATATCAAACTTAACGGTCAATACAACTAATGATCTTCCAATCTTGAATTCTGATATAAAAAAGAAATTAGAACATTATCCAAGGATACAAAACCTTTTTGCTCAGAAGTATATGATAGAGACTATTTGAGGCATGTAAGAATCACCCTATTCTATATATCCATCTCTTGTCCCACTATGTTCATTTCCATTTTGAGAACCTTTCACTGCATGCAAGTCCACAATCACTTTTATCCCATGGTTTCTGCAAGTTATTTTTCGTTAAATATTTGTCATTATTTCAACTTTTTCTAATAGTGTGTTACAATTTAATTTAAATATCGTCTCAAAGACTTACTGTGCCCATGTGAAAGCATTCCACCCATTTTGTGATATGAATTTGAAATCATCTTCTGTTATGTATGAACTCCAATGATCCTACAAGGCCATCAAAGCTCAAAGTTAAGGTGATTTGGAAATCTAACAAAGGATTTCAACAAGTTATAGTTTCTGATGAAAACTGTATCAGATTTCTCACTCTTAAGACTTCAGGAGCTTTATCTGGACCATAACCATTAATAATTTTGTACTCTCCTTGTAAAGTTCTTAAAATATTCATAAGAAAAATTGATGGATCACTTTCTTTCCAACTCGTGCCTTGATATTCTGCACTCACTACTGTCTCCAATTGAACCTTCATACATATATGGTCAAATGATTTAAAATTCTAAGTTGATAGACTTGATTCATGAATTAAATTAACCAATTCAAGGCTAAACTAGTAAGAATAGTATCAAAACCACTGTATTCTCCTTGCACATCACAACACCTTTTTATGCTTAGATATTATTAATCCAATCACACATTAACATCAAGAATTCAATTTTAAAATCAACAATAATTATGGTTATGAATCAACATCAAGTATGATCTAACATTATTTCAAATTGCAAGATTGACACGCAATAACTATGAATCAACAATAGTTATGCATATTGATTAAGAGAAGAAAACTTGTCACACATTTTAAGATAATACTAGTAACATACCTCTTCATTCGCGCGAGCATGTCTATTCGAGGGCTTTATGTTATGGACGCATATTGTTAATTAAATTGAAAAAAAATGGTAAAATTATAAAAATAGATATTATTTAAATTAAAAAATTTTATTGGTAAGTTTAAGAAATTGTTGTGTCTTGTAAAAGAATAAAATAAAATAATTGTTGATATAAATTCAAAGAATGCAATGATGATTGAAAATAGTAAACAAAAAATATTAATTAATGGGTAGACCAAAAACAAATGAAATTAAAGTTAGATTGAAATTAAATAAAATTAAGAATTAATTGTGTTAGATGAAAATATTATTTGTTAGAATTGATGTTATACACTTCAAAAGTAAAGTTGTGCCCGTTTATAATAATAATAATAATAATAATAATATGTTTTTCGTATATAAAATAATTTTAATCAAGATTAAAGTTGTGCTCGTGCATAACAATAGTATATTTTTGTATATAAAAAAAATTGAATAAAAACTCTAGTTGTGCTCATTTGTAGTAATAGTCTTTTTTTCGTATATAAAATCATTTGAATCAACATTAAAGTTGTGTCTGTTTATTACAATAGTATTTTTTTTGTATATAAAAAAATTTAAATCAAAATTAAAGTTGTTACCGTTTATAACAATAATATTTTCTTTTGTATATAAATTTTTTTGAATCAAAATAAAGTTGTGGCCGTTTATAACAATATTATTTTTTTCGTGTATAAATAAATTTGAATCAAAATTAGAAGTTGTTCCCGTTTATAACAACAATATTTTTTTCGTATATAAAAAAATTTGAAATAAAATTACAGTTGTGCCCGTTTATAACAATATTATTCTTTTCGTATATAAAATAAATGAAAATATTAATTATTGAAGAATATCTATATATATACTACACTAATATATGAAGTAGTTCCCGATTATTGAAGAATATCTATAATAAAATATTTGATAAAAATTAAAGTTGTGCCCGTTTTAAAATAAATAGAATTTTCCTAAATAGCTAATCAAATAATTGAAAAATATCTATATGTACTACACAAATATTTGAAGATATTAATTATTAAATATAAATTGAAATACACTAACAGTGTAAAGTCTTCTTTGCACGGTTAGTTAATCATAGTCGTTAAATTTTTATAGATCTTTGTCTTTATCTTTAATCATATATAAAGTATCACTTGTAAATAGTTATCATTGACTGTAAAATATTTTACACAAATAGTGCATAACAATTATTCTCTTAATTATTTTAATAACCATCAAAATCCAATTGAAGAACATTGTGATGTCAGTGTTTGAATAAAGAAATAGAAATATATATCATAAAAAAATCTAATTGAAGTGCACCAAGTTAGGATTATAAGAGCATATTATAATTATTAAAGAGCATACATAGGATACTTGAAATAGTCTAAAGTCATTAGAATAACAACAGAGAACTCAAAGTGACAATCATAGTCTAACAACATAGAACTCAAAGCGACAATCTCATAGTATGAATTAGCTTTTCAAACTCGTACCTTCTTCGAACACCATTGTAATGATGTATGCCACAACCCTCTTGACGTGTCTGCAAACGTCAATTTAAAAACACAAGAAAGAATACAATCCAAAGTCTCTTGGACGAAGTTATCAAATCTACATCTGCAACTCTGACTGTCTCATCTGATTCACATAATGGAGTTTTTATTGGTTCCTTTAAGAAGATTTCTATTAGAGGACCTTCAGTCAAAACAAATTTTGATTATATTATTACAAATTCAAAATAAAAACCACTAAATAATAAAATAACAATCATGACAAGTACAATTGACAACAACTATATCTTAATTAACAATTAATGAACATTTTTCATCCTACTATAATACAAAGAAAATGACGAAACAAAAGCATAAATAAGTGACAACAAATCTCCAAATGAAAATATCTACTCCAGAATGAAACAGAAAGTGCACCTTCTGACTTTTGGCAAAATAGTCCTTCTGCCAACACTGACATCACAATGTTTCAAGTTTCAACCAAGTAAGAGTTATGTTGATGTTGTTTTATGACAATAGTGCATATACATTTGATGAAAAGCATCTGATGAATATCGATAAGCTTCATTTTCCAATAGTGACACCAACTGATGGCCCTAACATTGTACACATTGTTGCACCAGAACAGTCTTCTACTCATTTATCTATTTGTCTTCTATGGCAACTAGTGTCCAATCATATCTATGTCACATGGAGATGACATGTAATCTGCAAAAGTGTGGGATCTCAGATCATCATAGTTTCACTACTTGGTCGAATAACAGGAGAGATGTTCATGGTAATCAAATAATAAATAGCATAATGTAGTGAATTCAGTAGAACTATAAAAACTATGAACTACCATTATAACTAGCTGTAATACCCTAATTTTTACCATTAAGATCCCATATATCATTTGCATCTCATTCCATAAATAAGATCGCAAGCTTTGGTTCTCTTGCCTTCCTTTATGTATTTGTTCTTGAGAGATCATCAGGCACCCTTGTTTCTTGTTTGTTTGATATTTGTTTATGTTTATGTTTACTAACCAGTATTCAAAATCCCAAAAAATATTTGTTTTCCTTTACTGACCTTTTCAGGAAGGATTTGGATCAACGATATCAAATACTAGTCCCTCAGCTCGAGTGAATTTCATCTGACCAAAGTCAAAGTTAATCTGCAAATAATTCAAAATCATTTGATCAAGAGTCTCCCAAGATTTGATTGACTTTTATTCAAGAGACTTCAAGATTCATGTGTTTATTTGCATGCCTTCTTTGGAAAGAAAAAGAATCGAGCCAGAGGCAAGACAACACATAAAAAAGACAAAATTTCACCATTTTTGACTGTGGTAATCAATTACCAGTATTGGTAATCGATTACCCTGTGCGCATTTTGTGAAAGTTGGCCAAATTCAAGTTCTACAACACTTTTGGCACCAAATTCAAATGTTTCATCATGAGAATATTCTAGATCACTTAATTTTAATTCCTCTACCTCATCATAGTTAATTTCCACCATACACCTTCACTAATCACCACTTGATCATTAATTTCCCTTAAAATTCAAATTCCAAGTCTAATTTTGTTTCCAAACCAAACTCCAATCCACCAAAATTTCCAAGCCTAACTCCTATAAATAGAGGCTTCATTTCTCTCATTTCACGAGCTTTTGATAGCCAAATTCACCTTGTCAAATTCTTTCTTAACTCTCCCAATTTTCTCCAATTACCAAATTCACTAAAGCTCTTTCTTCCTTTAAAAGTTAGTAAGTTCATCATTATAACTTACTAATCTTTGAGCTAAACCTTCATCCATTCACTTTTTAATGATCAATTTCAGAAGCTCAATGCTTTTGAGTGTGGTTTGTGGAGTTGATTTGAAGAATTTCCAGAATTGGAGTGGTAATTTCTTGATCCACCATTTTTATTCTTGATACATCCTTCACAATATGATCTATTATTGATTCTTGTTGCTTGATGTTTGGATCTTTCAAATTGTGTTCTATTGGTGTTGATTGATGTTATTTCACTTGAATTTTCATGCTCAATTGCATACTTGATCATGAGGTATTTGAAGAAATGATTGATCAAGTTTTTGCACATTTTCAAACTATTTTGCTGCTGTTTTAACAGTGGTAATCGATTACCAGCTTAGGGTAATCGATTACCCAATGTTGATTTTGGCTTTGATTTGGGACTGTTTTGATTCTTTCTTCTTCTTCTTCTTCTTCTTCTTCTTCTTCTTCTTCTTCTTCTTCTTCTTCTTCTTCTTCTTCTTCTTCTTCTTCTTCTTCTTCTTCTTCTATTTCCTTTTGTTTTTTATTGCCTTAGAATACACTTTTTAAGGTCCTTTTCCTCTTTAAATTCATTTGAATTAGGGTGTAGATGAAGTTGGATAAACATTAGTTAATTCAAATATATCTTTAAAGTGGATTGTTCAATTCATTTTAGGTGCTTTGAGTTAATGATATGTTTAATGCTTTAACCCACAAAGATGAGTGGATGAACTTAAAGATGGAATGACCTTGAAATTGTAATTCAAATTAGTATTCCCTCTCCTCTTCTCTTTTTTCTTTTGATAGATGAAAATCTTTGATATCGTTTGAACTTATTTCAAGTTCTTGATGAAGATGAGATCATTACCTATTTTATTTTCGTGCGGTATTGCTTTCGGAGAGTGATCTACATATCACTTCTCTATCATGCATTAGCACTAACATTTTTATTGACCAGCCTCAGATAGTCGTGGTTTCTACATAAACCTGATTAAAATTACTTGACATAACGCTAAATTGTCCCGTAATCGGAAAATAATTATTCGTGGCTCAAACTTATGTTTGAAAGTCCAAGTATGGTTGATTATTTGTCTTAAGTCCATTACCTATGAAACTTTTTATTAGGAGCTTTGATTGTATAAATCCTCTAATGAGTATTAATTAACATTGGCCTAAGTGCAAGAGTTAACCATCGTTGATCATTTGTTCTAACAACTAATCACTAACTCACTGATAATATTATTGTACTAATTTTGTTTATGTTTCCTTCTTGCTGCATATCTCTCTTTTATTTTTTATGCATTATCATTTTATATTATATTATTGTTTATGCTCCCATTATTTTTTCTTTG